AAACCATTAAGTGCGCCTGCTGCTGTGTTAAAGCAGCAGCAAGTCCCGAGTTCTGACTCGTTTTGTTAAATGAATCTTTATACTCCTTGAAATAAGACAACAAGAGTCTACAGGTACATTTCTAAACGTCATAAACATGACAACATAGCTGAGTTCAGTCTGTGTGTCATCACAGAGACAACATGGAGTCAGGGACGGTTCCACTTTCTGTTCTTTCTTTGTTCTTTGTGCATCACAGACAAAATGTCCTCGGCTGACAATTACAGCAGCACCCCCCACCCCCCGCTGCTGCGTTTTACTAAAATAGCCTCGTTGGTAATGATTCATTTTAAGGCAGAGATAAATCTGGAGCAGCACATGCACACGCTAGAACTTCTGATGAAAATCAGGGAGGAGAGAGAGTCTGATACTGTACTTATCTGATTCGCCCACAGCAAGCAACTATCCAATTTGTCTTTGTGAAGAATTTATCTTTGCCCCATCTGTCTTCTGCTCTTTAAAATAGCTCGAGCCAAGAGCTGCTCAGAGCACATACACAGTAATCACAGTCAGATCTCATCTGAGCCTGAACTAACACCATGAGCACCTCCTGCCATCAAGCAACAGGCGTGTGCTCCATTAATGTCTTAGCGAGGACTACTGTGCCTTGAAGACCTTAAGAGGACATCAAGGAAAACATGGGCAAGTGGCATTTTATTGAAGGCTTGAAAAGGACATTTTTGGAAAGTGAAACCATTTCTGCTGAGTGTGTGAAGACATGAAAAGTTAGAATGTAGGTGAAAGGTGAGCAAGGACATTTTGGAAAAAGTGAATCTATTCCTTGAAAAGTGAGGGCATGTTTACATTTTACAGTGTGTTATAAATGGCACAATATAAACACTGTGCATTGTGAGTAAAACAGTGGGAGTGAGGACGGTTTTGGAACTGACAGGACATTTTCAGAAAGTGAGGACATTCCTGCCAAGTGACTGGGAAAAGTTAGGACCTAGGTGGTAAATGAGGACATTTTTAAAAAAGGACATCTTTTGAAACAGTGAGGACATTTCAGAATTGGTAGAATATGAATACGTAAGTGGTAGACACTGATTTATTTACATCAAACTATTTTCATAGGTTGGCTCATGTGTGGAAGGTCGATGACAGGATTCCCCCCGCCCACTGGTCCTTTAGTATTGTAATTTCTGCACAACAACAACAACAATCCATGTAAAAGTTCCTAAGATAGTTTATTCCAAACCAAAATTGTCAAGAGAAGAAGGTCACAAGTGGAAAGGAATAATATTCACCAACACAACTAGAAGAACAAGGCAGAGCGCTCAGTGGCTGCAGCTCAAGCCGAATGAACAAGAACAAGGCACTTTGTGGGTCTAGATGTGTTTTGTTCTGTACTGGGGGTATTTCAGGCACAGTTCACCACAGACTGAACTTAACCCTGATGTGTGAGTTGACCAAACTGTGAGCTTTCCCTTCCTGAGTTCGTTTAATTAACTTGAAGGTGATTCACACAGTTGATGATGACTATAAAAAGCCATCATCAACAGCTCTAATACAGTGATTCACCATTGCAACAGATAAATAAAGAGCAGAGACAGCATTTTAATCCAGAGGAGCACAAATACTGGGTGAAATTAATGCATATAAACACATGTGGAGCAGGGCCCCGATAAAACAAGATCAGTGGCTTATCCAGCTAACTCTGGGCTCTGGTACCAGGAAGCTGGCTCACCTTAAATTGGGCTAGATCACCATGGTAACCGATGCTGCACAGCCAACCTGCTTTGGAGCAGGTTATCTTCAGAGGATTGAATCAAAACCTGTCAATAGCCTGAGCACCAACCAGTTAGATCACTGAAGAAACTGAGCGATTGTTCCTACCGGATCCTGACAGGGTCAGAGTGTACAGTAATGAGATGAGTATTAAATAGATACTTCTACAGAGCAGTCATATTGTTGTGCTGTTTCAGCGGTCATTATGATCAACACCGTGTTTTAAATGCACAAGATTATTTGATTATGGACTGACTAAGCTTTACAGGCTCCATCACTGCAGCTAAGAGTAAGATGAGGACACTCAGTGATGATGGTCTTCTGTTAATCCACACTCTGTTAAAAATGTCCCGTAATTATAAATGAACATGTGACCTGAGGTGTAGCTGCTCCCCAGTGTCCTTTCCTCTCCGCTCTGGCTGCACAAATTGTTTTTTCGTGATCAGACAAAGGAGAAAACAGTACTCACTGAATAAGACCCTTATAATAATACATACTGTAATAATAATAATAATATGGCCTAAAGTGGAGCTGAAACATAATTAAGCCTTTGGGAACTCTGCTTCAGCTGTGATGCATATATAAACCCCAACCATGAAGGTATTCAAGGTGAGTTGCAATCATGAGAAAGACAAAGGAGCTTCCACAAAAGCGAGAGAGAGAGGAGATTATTTCATCACACCTGAAGGGTCTTGGGTATAAGAAGATTTCCAAAAGATTTAACATTCCAAGAGACAACATTGGGAGCATTATAAGGAAGTTGAAAACTTATAAAACAGCTGCAAACCTGCCTGGCAGCCCAAAATTTCATCAAGGGCCCCTAGCAACCTAATCAGGACATCTAAGGAAAACCCCCGTGTGACTGCAAGACACCTACAGGATGACATGATGATGGCTGGTACAAGTGCTTCAGTGCCATCTATAAGGTGTATACTAATGTAGCAGATGCACACAGGGCCCGGGCTTAACCCCACCTGGGTCTGTCAGACCATCTTTCACTTCTGCTATACCCATGTTATACACCAAAAATCAAAGCTGCTAAACCCATGGTTAAGACAGTGAGAACATGGCCAGAGGACGCCATCCCTAAGCTTCAAGGCTGCTTTCATCACATAAGCTGGGATGTATTTGGAGGCCAGGGCGTGCAGACACGTGAGTCTCTGGATGAATACACCACAACAGTGCTGGGCTTTTTGTGTGGACTATGTAATGTCCTGGAAGCAAATAAATGAATTTCCAAATAGGAAGCCTTGGATGACACACAAAGTACAACAACTGATTAAAGCTAGGGATGCAGCATACAGGTCTGGGGACACCAATGCCTATAGTACAGCCAGGACTGCTTTGAGGGAAAGCATCAAATTTGCCAAACTAGGATACAAATGGCAGATTGAAGCCAAATTTAACAAATCTGCAAATCCCCAGCAGGTGTGGGAGGGTATCAAGGCAGTCACGGACTACAGTATAAGAGAACAACAACTCCCTCAGTGAAGTACTGTGCCACCTTAGCTGAGGAGCTAAATCTCTTCTACGCCTGTTTTGACAGGGACAACACAGACCCAGTACTGCCTCCCCTCCCCTCTACTGACACCACCCCAGTCCTGAGCACACATGAAGTGAGACTCTGCATAACATCAACCCCAGGAAAGCAGCCAGACTTGATAGAGTGGCCAGACGGAGGTCTTCAACATCATCTACAATATGTCACTGTCCACATCATGGGTCCCCGCCTGCTTCAAAGCAGCCGCAATAGTTCCATTATAGACCTGTGGCACTCACCGTCATGCCAGCCAAATGCCTGGAGAGGCCGGTCATCAAACACATTAAGAATGCAATACCATGGGTGTTTAACCAATATCAGTTTGCATACAGGGAGAACAGGTCAACAGAAGACGCCATCGCTATTGTGCGTCACTCTCTATTAGAACATCTAGAACACAAAAACACCTACGCAAGGCTGCTCTTTGTCAACTTTAGTTCAGCTTTTAATACAATTCTGCCGAACAAACTCCAATCCAAATTACACAACCATGGACTGAACACCACATTATGCAATTGGATTTTGGATTTTCT